GGTGAAGTCCTCCATATGAGAGGGGGCCACGGCGTAAGAGGGGGAGCCACGGAGTAAGAGGGCACCCACGTCCACCGTAAGAGAGGGAGCCCCAGTGCTGGCTATAAGAGGGGGACCCGTGGTGTTCCTTGTAGGAGGGAGAGCCATGGTGCTGGCTGTAAGAGGGGGACCCGTGGTGCTCGCTGTAAGAGGCGGCGGCTCAAAGGAAACACATCTCTCCCGCATCTGTCAGTATCTGCCACTGGGCCCTGGGCCGAGCATTTGCAACCTCAGTGAACGGAGGAGAGGTCAGAAGGAAGGACAACGGATGGGCTCGTACAAGCTCCCTGTCTCTGGGAGCTGGTGTCCTGCACCTGAAGGCTAGGCTGAGAAACACGTGAGCTACACCCAAGATTCTCCGAGCAGCCTGGTCCGTACCTCACAGTGAACAGATTCAAGCTTTCCCTCAAGCACGGCACCTAAGGTCATGTGCAAAGTCTCTGAGCTACTTCACGGTCACGCCACTGTCCAGGAGTGGGAGGGGGTGGGACCAGAAGCCAACAGACCCCACACCGAAGTGAGCATGAACAAAGCTCAGGCCAACAGTCTGGGGGCTGCGTCTGCACAGGCCCCAGCTGACTCCCCACACACCCAGGTCCCAGTTCCGGCAGCCCGTGGACTCACATGATGATGGGCACGGCCGAGCCCAGGCCTGTCCTGCATAGGAGACCCTGAGGCCCGGCTCCCCCACCCCTCCTGCCAACTCAGGCTCCTCCCACCACGCAGCACTCTCCGTGCCCTCCCGCCAGCCAGGGGCAGGGAGGGTCCTCACCTGTCGTCCAGGTACCCGCCCATCATGTCATGACACAGCAGGGTCCGGGGCCTCTGGCTGCCCAGCGGGGGCTGGCGGCATGCGGGGGGCTCCAGGGCCACATTGAAGCCATCCTCCAGGCTGGGCGTCCAGGCCAAGAGCTCCTCCAGAGAAGACAAGTAGAAGCTGATGGGACGGCTGGTGTCCTTGTCATAGTACCTAGCTGGTCGGAGGAGGGAGGCAGTGAGGGGTCACGGCAAGGCCTGCACGACGACCAAGGAGGACTTGGGGGTCCTGCCAGCAAGCCCCAGGAGCAGACGAGGTTGTTCCAAGCCTCGATCCTTCTCACCTGGCAGAGGGTCCGAGCTGAAGGTGACCACTTCTCGGAAGACTGCTTCTTCCTGCTCCTCTTCCATTCTGAGCAAAGAAGTTCAATCTTTCTTTTTTTCAGTAAACAGGTCAAGAAAAAACACCTAGCAGCAGATGGACTAGGCCCCGTCTAGACTAGTCGGGGGAGATATCCTCCCCAAACTCTCTAGCTTTCTGTTTTAGTACAAACTACGGAAACCAGACGGGGCAGCGGTGGGCCAGTCGTCTGCGGGAGCCAGGTTCGATTCCCGGCCGGTGCACCCCACGTGCAGCCACCAGCCGTCTGTCACTGGAGGCGTGTGCTGCCAGGATGCTGAACAGTTGTCAGTGGGGCTTCCTAAGTGACACTAGGAAGAAAGTCCTGGAGACTTGTCTCCACCCATCAGCCAATCAAACCCCGTGGTGCACACCAGTCCAGTCCTGCTGGGCATGGCGTCACCAGGCCCAGGGGCCAACTCGATGGCAGCTAGTCACAAGCACTGCAGGGGCACAGGGGATGGGGACAGATTAAAGAGCAAATGGCACTGTGGGTGCTCTGTTTCCAAGCATCTCCCACCGCCTCCTCTTCCTGAGCCCCTCCTTGGCCGATTTCTTTATCCCTCGAGCTCCCGGACCCACTCGGCTCTCCTTTGTCACCTTCAAATCCTCTAAACCAAACCCAAACCCGTTGCCGGGGCATCAGTGCCCACTCGTGATTCTTGGCCATCACCTTGTCAAGAGCTGACTGCCAGGCCTGTCTTCCGTGGTACTCCTGGTGGGTCTGAACTGCCAACCTTTAGGTCAGTAATTGAGTGGCTCGGGACCCACCCACAGGGACTTTGTACCACAGAGAGGCCAGGGGGTTGGAGGGCGGGGCCATGGTGAGAGGCGGGGCCGCAGGCAAGGGGCGGGGCCTGAGCCTAGGGTTCCAGAAGGCTCTGAGCCATCTTCAAAAAAAAAAAAACCCTCACTGCACAGGAGCTCTGGTGGCATAGTGCCTAAGGCACGTGACTGCTAACCAGAAGGCTGGCAGTTCAAACCCACCAGCCACTCCGCAGAAGGAAGGTTGGGCAATCTACTTCAGTAGTGATACTGCCTCAGAAACCCAAGGAGGGGTCACTATGAGTCGGAGCTGACTCGATGGCAAGTAACAACAGCCATTGAGTCAAATCTGACTCATAGCAACCCCTCACGGAAGTAGATTGCCCAACCATCCTTCCGAGGAGTGGCTGGTGGGTTTGAACCGCCAGCCTTCTGGTTAGCAGTCACATGCCTTAGGCACTATGCCACCAGAGCTTCCTCATACCTTTTTAATTCCCTCACTAGGAAGGTAGCATAGTGGCTAAAGCACTTGACTGCTAACCAGAAGGCTGGCGGTTCAAACCCACCAGCCACTCCTCGGAAGGAAGGTTGGGCAATCCTACTTCCGTAGTGATACTGCCTCGGAAACCCAAGGAGGGGTCGCTATGAGTCGGGGCCGACTCGGCACACAACGACAACAACAACAACACTAGGAAGGGAAGAACTATCTCAATGTCCCTATCTCCAAAGGTTTTTCCCACCAGCCAGCCCCCACGGGCGCTCCACCTTGTCCTGTCTGGAACAGCCCTCAGTCTCAGTCTCATTTCTTTGGGTTTAAAAATAGAGAAGGACCAGGATGCTGCTTCCACCGGCAGCCCACCGCCTGGGGTTTACCCCGGAAAGTAAGCCCTGGTGCAGGAGCACCGCAGGCCAGTCACTGTCATTTGTTCCCTGGCTCGGAAAACCCTTTCCCTATTCTCCGAAATCTCCCTTTTCTCCAACTCTCAGTCCTTCTCCAAACTCCCACCCCATTCCAACCCAGCAGGGACCTTAATCATCTTAATTACACGCCTGACAAGTAGCAGGCAGTTACAGATGCGATATGGCTAGGACCTGGAGCAGAGGTGAGCGGCCCTGGGGGCCAGGTATTAACCCACTTCTCAGACGAGGAAGGGAGGCTGCAGCCTCCGTGGTGAGCGTGCGGGAAGGACGGCGCCAGGTCTCCCTTCCCTCCCCGCTGTGTTCCGCGGCCACTTGGGTCTGCACCCCACTTCCGTGAGGACTAGCCCCGTCTGACCGGACATGTTCCCGAGCGGTCAGTTTTGGGGCGTGGTGGAGGTGGCGGCCCCTCATGACCGGGTGGAGTAGGACAGGGTGGTGACAGCTGCTGTCCCCGCGCCGTGGACGCCCAGGCGACCTCGCTTCTGCACCCACCGCTGGGGTCACGGGGTCGGGGTCACGAGTTCCGCCCCGGGATCTCAGGAAGCTAGGAAGTTCAAGGTGCATCCCCGGCCCGGCCTGCTCACCTCGGCTCGGGCAGTCGCCGCCGCCGCCCCCGGGCTCGCTCAGGCCGGTCCTCGAGGGCCGTCTGCCGCTTGCGCCGTCTTGAAGCTGCCACCGCCGCGACCTCCATGTCTACCTCGGCGGCTACCGGGCCGTCCAATCGTAGGGTAAGGCCCGCCCCCGTCGTCCCCACCAGCCAATGGAGACTGCAGAGCGCGGCCGCCTCGTGCGGATTGGCCGGGGCTGGGCCACTGTCTCTTTCTCTCTGCTGGAGGAGACCCACCCGCGGGGACTTCGTACCCTTAGAGAGGCCCGGGGGGTGGGGACGGGGGCGGGGCCACGGTGAGGGGCGGGGCCTGGGGAAAGGGGCTGCTGGTGAGGGGCGGGGCCGCAGGCGAGGGGCGGGGCTCTGTGTTTCAGGTGGAAAGGCTAAAAGTAGAAGTGAGATTTGAATTCAGTTGGTGTCATGGATTGAATTGTGTCCGCAAAAATTATGTCTTGCAGTCCTACCCACTGTACCTGGGGATGTGCCCCTGCTTGGAAATAGGGTTTTCTTTTGTTAGGTTAAAGAGGTCACACCAGAATCCAGCAGGTCTAAACCCAACCCCTTCTTAGTTACATAACGACCAGAGAAGTCACAGAGACACTCGGGGGAGAGGTACCCGCAATCCAGATGCCAAAGATTGCCGGCAGCTCCTGGAAGCTGAAATGGATGAAGAAGGCCCTCCCCCCAGAGTCACACTCTGGAATCAGACAGCCTCCTGAACCGTGAGATAATGCATTTCTGTGCTTAGAGCCACCTGCTTGTGGGGTTTTTTGGTTACGAGGCAGCCCCAGTGGGCTGCTAACCAAAATGTCTGAGGTTCAAAGCCCCCAGCAGCCCCCCAGGAGGAAGATCTGCAGCCTAGGAAACCCTGTGGGGCAGCTCTACTCTGTGGTATAGGGGCGCTGTGAGTCGGAATGGACTCCACGGCAGTGGGCTTGGTTTGTGTCTTGGGTTAGGTAACTAAGACAATCCATCTAAACCCTATTAAAAAATAATTTTCCCCTATTAAAAAGATAAAATCATGATTCTCATACACACATAAATGTGAACAATTAAAGATTCTATTCTACAGGTTAATCTACGAGGAGTCCAGATAGATGTTATAACCCATTCAGAAGAGAATCGGAAGAGAGACGCGTTCGTGGGTCAGGAATACTGAAGTGCATCTGTAGATGGGTGCATGGTTTTCCACAGGGTGGAGCAAGAAGGGAAGTCTACGGGACAAGACAGTTCAAATGTCCCTCATCACCTACCACTTACAGGGTTGCAAGATTCCACAGACCCATACCCCAAACCTGTGCCCCAGTAGTGTCTCAGGGAGTAGGGCCTACCCAGCACCCCAGGTCTGGAAGGAGTTCACAGTCAAGGCGAGGGCGTCTGAGTCGTGAGGGGAAGCGGGAAATGCAAGGACAGGGACTTGCAAAGCTGGGTCAAATGGGTGTGTCCTCAGGGCCGGTCCGGTTGCCTAGAACTCTTTAGTCCTCTCTACAGTGGCAAGGCCTGTTCCTGCCTCTCGAAGGTCCACCCCTGGGTCTGACACTACTGCCAAGCCATGATGAAAGACCTGCTTGTTATTGTTTCAGATTGGGAACTTTACGAGGCCTCAAGCTTCCATAAACTCAGAGGGTGGGGAATGCAACGCCGGTTCAACGTGGACCAAGGCCTCGCTGCAGACGGACAGGTCAGCTTCACCAGGAGCAGAGGGGACAGACCTTACCAAGTCCTCCTGTTCAGGCCCCGTGGGGGGTCCAGCCCCTGGGCAGTTTGCAGCGAGCACGGGTTGTTCCGACTCCTAGCAACCCCACGTGACAGAGTAGAGCTGTCCCAGAGTGTTCCTAGGCTGACTTGACTGCTAACCAGAAGGCTTGCAGTTCAAACCCATCGGCCACTCCTCGGAAGGAAGATGGGGCAATCTACTTCCGCAGTGATACTGCCTCGGAAACCCAAGGAGGGGTTGCTGTGAGTCGGGTCCGACTCGACAGCACATAACAATAACAACAACAATCTCTAGGGAGCAGATTGCCAGTGATCTGGTAGAAGGGTAACACAGCTCCCTCCCCAGTGCTCAGGTTGTAGTTGTGGTGCAGGGAATTACTCACTAGGCCCTTCTAACAGCAGTCTTTGGACTCCTACTGATGACTGGGTGGGACCATGCAAATGTGAGGTGCTGTGGCCCAGAAAGGGGATTGGGTAGCTTGCTAATAGTGTGAATTTGGTACAGGGCACCCTTGTGGGGGGTTGTTGTTGTTGTTGTTATTTGCCGCCAGACTCATAGCGACCCCTCCTCGGGTTTCCCAGGCAGTATCACTACAGAAGTAGGATTGCCCAACCTTCCTTCCCAGGAGTGGCTGGTGGGGGTAGGACATGCAAATCAGGTGTCTGGAACCTGGGTTGTAACATGTTGCAAAGCATAACTATGCTCCAAAGGCTTTTCAGTGGTTGATTTTTCAGAAATAGATTGCCAGGTCTAGCTTGCAAAGCCCTCTGGGTAGACTTGAACTCTGGTCTTTGAGTGCATAAACCATTTGCACCATACAGGGCCTTCGTTTTCTTTCCAGCCAGGTTAACGCAGGTCTAAAGGACAATTTGAACAGCACTTGGGTAAGGCCCCGTCTCTGGGGAGTATGTCTAGGCTGCCCCTTCTCTGCTCTTCTCCACAGGGGTGCCTCTGATCTAGGGCAGCAGGGAGGTGCAGGGGGGCTGCACACCTCCCAGGGACAGGTAAGAGTCAGGTCTTAGGGCCCCACTGTCTGCCCCTGTGGCTCTCGGGAGGTCAGGCTGAGCCTGGCAGCCTCCCTGTCTGCCCCTCGGGCTCCAGACCCTGCTGTGTCCTGGCTGAGCCCCTAAAACTCTAAGCCTGTAGGACTTCCAGATAAAATACAGAATTTGAATTCAAATAAACAACAAAAGGGATGTGCTTATACTAAAAAACTATTCCTTGTTTATTTGAAATCAAATATAACTGGGGTCCTGTATTTTCATTTGCTAAATCTGGCCGCCTAACTGGGTCCGCACCACAGCCCTGCTGGCTCATGGCTGGTGCCGGCAGTGGCCTCCTGTTACCTGCTTTGGCTGCTGGGCTGTGGCCTTCCTCCGCCCTCTCCCTGCCTTGCTCCCACAGTGCCGCAGGCTCCAACACGGCTTCCAGACTCAGAGAGATGAGGAAGAAAGGCCTGACAATCCCCTTCCAAAGTCAGCCAGTCAAACCCAGTGACGCACAAGAGATTGTCCGCTCCAGGCCGGCAGACGAGCCCGCAGGTGGAGTCTCTCAGGACACACAGCGGCCGCAGCAGTGGCGTCAAGCGTCCAGCCGTGGGGAGGACAGTGAGCACGGCGGGGCACCGGCAGTGCTTTGCTCTGTTTATGCAGCAAACCCACAGCCTCTCAAACATCGATGTTCCCACACCTGAAACGGTTTGGCTCTTCTCATGGGTGGGTACGGTATCTCAGCGTCTTGATTTAAGCTTGCACCACGATTCACGTTGATTCGCCATCTGGAAACGTGTCGTTTCTTCTGTGAGAATCCTGCTAAGGGCTTTGTCCGTTTCAAGTGTGTCGTCTTTTCCTGTTGACATGGGAGTCCGGTACGTATTCTGGACACTAGTATTTTACCTGTTATTTACACCATGTAGCAAGCGTGTATTGTGGGTCCTTACACTCCCAGCCAGTTGCCACCACCTCCCCCTCACGGCGCCCCGTACGCATCAGGACAGAGCTGCGTCCCACGGGCTTCTCAGGGGCTGACTTTGCAGAGTAGCTGCCCAGGCCGGTCTCCTGAGGTGCCGCTCGGTGGACCCTGACCCCCACCCTTCGGTTAGCAGCTGAGTGCCTTCGCCGTTTGCACCCCCCGGCTGGCATTTATAGGTGTCTGGTGTTTTGGTGTGGTCTAGTGTGTTACTATCTGCCCTCCTTCAACACGGGGCTGCCTTCTCTCGTCTCTGAAGCCGGCCTGACCTGCTGGTTCTTCTGCGTCTTCAGCTAATAAATGCTGAATGGGGTTGTCTTTGATTTTAGCATATTCAACTCCCAGACGCCTTTGGGAGGCAGGTTTTAGTATTTCAGTAGGGTTTTTGTTACTGACCTACTTAGATATTTCTCTTTTTTCCTGGTCCAGTTTTGATAATGACTGTTTTCCAAGAAAAGTGTTCGTTTCATTGAGGTTTTCAAACGGGGGCTAGGAACTTGTTTACAGCTGTATTTTTAAACTTCTTAGTTACACTCTCTCTCTAATCATCTTCCTTTTCTCTTCTTCTGATGTTTTTCCCTGAAACAACAGGCCAGTTTGCCTTTTCAGAAAACAAGCTCTTGATTTTATTATTTGTGTTTGTTTTCTGTTCCATTAATTTCTGCTTTTATCTGCTTGACACCTATTTTCTTTGGATATAATTTGTTGTTGTTCTGGTTTCAGCAGTGGAGAATTTGGTTTGGTTATTTTAAATCTTTCTTTTATATAATTACACTTAAGGGGAGCTGTTCCCTCAGACAGTT